CCCCATCAGCTCATGATAAGAGCCCAGTTACGGTTCTGATAAAACATGAGTTTCAACCACTACCACTGCTACATCGGCTTCAACTGTGAAGAATAGATGCGAATGCTGCAACAAGAAAGTTGGATTGTTGGGGTTCAAGTGCCGCTGTGGAAAGACCTAGCTTCTGTGGGGTTCATCGATATGCCAAGGAACAGCCTTGCATCTTTGATTTCAAGACTCTTGAAAGACAAAATCTGGCTAAGCAAAACCCTTTTGTTGGTGGTGATAAACTTGATCCTAGAATCTGATGTAGTCTTTGAATTTTTGAATTAATTATTTTTTTTAGTCTGTATGAATATTTAATAAAATTTTAATTTTTCATCTTGTGAACAAAGCAAGCAATCTTGTTTATTCTCTTACATAGCTGATCTAAGATTAATTTTGTATTTTAATTATTTAAACAAATTACACCTTGATTGAGAGTAAAAATTAATTACTTTTTTTTTTTAACAAATAATAGTGATAATATAAGTAAGTATGAGAAAGGTGAGTAAATTATAAATTAGTCCTTCTATTTTTGAGAAATGAGTTAATTTGTTCCTCTTTGTTTCAAAAACTAAAATATTTCTATATTTTAAACTTTTCTTGTAACTTAATCCCTTTAGTTTGTTTGCAATTTATTTCATTTTTTTTAAGAAATAGAAAAAGAGAAAAAATAAGTACAAAGATGAAATGATTGATGATGAGACACTACCAAAATTAAAGGGTGAGTAAATTATAGACCATGTGACAGCTTTTTGAGTCGTCGCTAATTTTACAACAGAAAAAACCCTTGCAAATGGTAAAATAACGATCCTAAAAGAAGATAGAAATATTGAGAAAATTAGCGACGGTAATTTTAAATCATCGTAAATCAACGACGTTAATTTTAAATCGTTGCAAATTAGTGATGGTTTTAGCGATCGATGTGATCGAACCGTCGTAAATATTACCGCATTTAGCGACGGTATCGGTAATAATTTTTTTCAAATTTATTTTTCAATTTTATAAGCATTTTAAATCTTTTTAAATTAACCAATTGCAATATAAAAATCTAAAAAAAAAACCCCAAAACATAATATTTTAAAATTTCATAATATTTATTATAAAATTGATTAAAATTTAACACATATTTCATTATTAAATTCTAAAAAAAAGTAAAAAGGTTATTATTATTATAAGAAAACATGAAAGCTATGAGAGATCGACAGGGTCGTCACTTGGAGGTTGGGCGGAATCGTTAGTGTTTGGCTCGACGGATGAACTACCTTGCTCGCATATGTAGCAACATCCGGTGTATCTGTCTCATTATCACATGTTGCTCTCGAGTGTACTCCTTCAACTCATTATTGAAGTCAACAATGATGTCACAATACCTTGTAGATCCTAAATCCGTTCTATATGTGTAGCATGTCGATCATCGAATTCCTTTCGCCGTGCTTCATCACCAACATAGAATCACGAATTTGTTGAACTAGAGGCCGTACTTACGTTAAAGTAATAGTGAGAGGCGTGTGATCCGAGTTCATACATCATCTTTCTCTTACTATCTCCTCCTCTAACAACCTTCATATAAATCTCATTAATGTTGATGTCGGTCGATGAAGTCCCCTCCGTTTGTCGGCTAGCAACCTTCTCATCAATTATTTTTTCGACGATCTCCCGCATAATTGTAAAAGATATAATATTAAATAACTAAGTCAATATATATATATATATATATGAAATAACGTTATAAATTAATATTAAACCGCATAAGTCATATACGTATATGTATGAAATAACGTTATAAACTAATAACTTACTCGATAACTCTTGGCCGTCGATTGACAAAGACGTATTGATCATCAACCTTTTTCCCGTGAATCCTCAAGAAAACCTCGTGAGAATCGGGTTCACGACCCATCTCTTCATGCTGAAACAAATATATGTAAATGTATGAAATATACTCAAATATTTAATTAATTATATTGAAATCATTATAATATATATATATATACATAGACACACACACACACACACACACCATGCGTATTGCGTGCTCTCTCGTGATTGATCGACCTCCCGTATGTCTTGAAGAATCGGCTCCAACGCCATTAATCTCGCTCATGTGGTTCCACACTCGCCTTCTTAAATCGGGCAATGAACTTAGGTTTTGCCCATTCTATACACCATGCATCCCATATTTCCTGTGAGATATATGTCGGCTTCGGGCTTCTCTTAAGATGATAAAGGAAGTCGGAATACCGCTTTCGTGCCATACTTTCTTAACATTTTTTTCCATATTATTCTCCCACGTAAATAGGGGTGATCATTAGGTTAAACGAGTTCGATTTTGTATGATTCAGTTTGATTTTCGATTAACCGAATTGAGGAAAATAAAAATAAAAAATTAACCCAAATAAATTTGATAAATTTGGTTTAAAATCGAATTATTTCGATTCGATTTCGAAAAAAATTCAATTTTAACCAAAATATTTTGCTGAAAAATAAAATTCATTCATCTCGCTAGATTCCGCCCAACGAGAGATCTTTATAGGAGAGAAAAAAAGTTTCCATTAAAGCCATTTTTTTTTAATCTTTTTAAAGAAAAATATCAAGAAAAAAATAGAAAAATATCAAGGAAATCCGTATTAAACCGATATGAACATTACCAAATTGTTTTAGCCAATAATTGAAGTAATTTGAAATTTTCTCCATATCTCAATATCTCACCCTAAAAAGATGAAGAACGAGTTACAATAACAATATAAAGCTAATTCTTCTTCATCCTTACACTCTTCTTTTGAATTCAATATAAAGGAAAGAAATCAAAATAAATACAAAATGTTATTCAAAAATTCAAGAAAAAAAATTTTAACATGTACATGTGACACATATTACAATTAATTTATGTAACACATATTAAAATTTCATATCAAAATCATATGTCAAATTGGTTTAAATTATTAATAATTCCATAAAGTCCTTAGACAATATGGCATCTATTGCGAGAAAATAAAAAAATTCAAAATAAATACCACATGACATTCAAAAATTTAAAAATTTGAAATAAAAATCTAAAATATGTACATGTAAAACATATTAAAATTTTAGGCTAAAATCATATCCATATTGGATCCAAGTTATTAATAATTCGAGACAATCCTTGTATAACAACAAATCTATGACAGAAACTAAGAAAAATAAATAAATATTAAACAATCTCTAATAATTCTGAAATTTAAAACTTAAATCAACAATAGATGCTTGTTGAATGTATAAAAATTTAAACCAAACTCATAGTTCAAAATTGGTCCAAATTATAAATAATTCAAAATTACTAATAAACTAAAAGAGGACGGGGTTTTGAACAGTGGCAACACTGTTCACCCCCTCACAATGTACTCGTTCACTTTTTTTTTGATCCTTCAAATTTTAATCCCCAATTGATGCATTACATGCCTTTATTTTTTCCTTTGGTTTTTATAATTTTTTCATTAATTTTTATTTAATTATTACTATTTTTTGTGTTTTCATAAAATTTTTAAAAATTCTAAGAATTCATGATATATATTATATTATATCAATTTATTTTAGAAAAAACAATCATGTTTTAAGATTTTATTCTAAAATTCAAACATAGAGTAAAATAAATTATATTTATCAATAAATAAAATTATATATAAAAATATTAATTGGATGAGAATTTTCATAGAAAATAATAAATTTAAATAATAAAATTTAAATAATGAAAGTAATATAAGATGAAATAAATGTTAATTTTTTAAAAAATAAAAAGATATATATATATATATATATATATATATATATATCATACATAAGTCGGTTTGTGTAGAAAAAATGACAATTAAGTTTTTAAAATTTTAACATCTAATTAAATAAAAAAAGAACATAAATTGATGAAAAAAAGCAAAGGAAAAAAAAAACCAAAGAAAAGGCATGTAGTGCATGAGCTAGGGATTAAAACTTTAATTTTAAAATTTTAGGGATCAAAATGAAATAATTTTAAAATTAAAAAAATACCTAAGAGTGAATAATACATTATGAGGGTAACACCCAATTAAATAATAAAAAAAGAACATAAAATGATAGAAAAAAGCAAAGGAAAAAGAAATAATTTTGTTCTATCTACCAATAACGTTGGGTGGATGATTTTAAAAATTAATTTTCTCATCGGTATTAAATAATTTTTTTATTTGTTAATTTTTATAAAATTCTATCCACTAATTATAATTTTATTTTTGTAATATAACATTATGAAAAATATATTTCTAATTTTTTTAATTCTCAATTAATACTTTAGTTAAAATCAATTCATAAAAAAAAATTATAAAAAACATTAAATAAAATTAAATAATTAAAAATAATAATTAAAAATTTTTAAAATAATTTTTTTATTAAATTTGTAGGGTAGCACGGACAACTGTCTAGTACCTCCTACGATGGCAAATCTACGACGGGATACCAAAATTACATTACAAAAAAAACTAATCGAATATTTTTTGATTTTTTTATTCCTTTGTTGTGCTTGTGTGTGTTGGTTTGATTTCTTTTTTCTTCGCCTCTTTGCTCATGTACAGATTCAATTTTTTTATATATTTTTTCTTTCAACCGTTCGATCTAAATCAATTATTTTGGAGCCGTCCGATCGAGCATTCTTTTTTTTTTGCAATCTCAGCCATCCATCTGAAAAAACCCTAATAATCTCAACCATTGAATTATGATCTATAATTTCGTTTTATCCCAATTTTAGGAGCCTCCATCTTCTACCATTCTCCAGTCACCCAAACTCTTGCTGCAATTGTAGCCGCCACCACCACACCCCGACGCCGATGTCAGCATCCATCACCACCACAACATCCCACTCTCACTAAATCATCTTTCTCTATCTTCATTTTTCTACTCTCTCTTTCTTCTTTCTCTCTCACAAACAAACATATCTTAGATAGGAACAGCCCCCAATCTCCTCTTCATCTAAAATGCTTCATGCAATTGCACCAGCACAACCTGATGTTGACCACCAGCCACCCACACCACCACACCATAGGGTGCCCCCACCACCCAAAGCCGATAATTTTTATTTTCCATTTTAACAGCATAATTCTTTTTCGAGGAATTTTCTTTGAGAAGTGTTAATTTTGTTGGGATTTATTTTTGTTAGTTTTCATTAGTAACACTGAAAACTATTTCTTTGATTGGTTTTTGATGTTGGGTTTCTTTTGCTGTAATAAAGTTTTGATTTTCTTTCATTTTCTCAAACCTCGCTTACAGCCAATATTGTTTATCAATCAAAGAATCGAAAAGCTGTCTTTTTTTTTTTAATCATTCTTGGGTTGTTTCGGCTCTGAATTTGAGGTATAAGGTTTTGAATTCTCTCTGGTTATTCATAATTTTCTTCTAGGGTTTTCGTGTTTGATTTGATTTGATTTTTTTAAAAGAGGAATTGGAAAATGAGAATGGAATCTGAGTTGGGGATTTTTTTTTTTTAGGGTGAGAAATCGATTGAAAAGGAGGGAACTTTATTTTTCTTTTGGTTCCTTTTCTGTTTTGTTTTTCTCAATGGGTTTTTGCTATTTCCTTTTGTAGAATTGTTTTACTGAGATGAGCATGGGTTTAGAGCTGAATGTAAGAGTGGAGGAGGGGACTGAAAAGAGGTAGGTTTTGGTGAATTTGTAGTGTAATGCAAATCACAATCAATTTTGAAAATTTTTGTTTTCTGGTAAATGAAATTAATGGTATTTGTGGTGTGGCACAGTTGCTTGCCTACTGAGAAAAGTAAGAGGAAAGTTCCGAAAAGGATTCACAAGGCTGAGAGGGAGAAACTGAACGTGAGCAATTGAATGAGCTCTTTGACTGTGATTAATAATTAATATATTAATTTATAAATATTTTTTTGTCTAAATTTAACCTCACTAAAATTAAAGAGCCAGGAGTATTGTATTAATAAATATCAGAATTTAAATAGATATATTTTATCCATTGGTTTTAAATTCTCTTCTTCCAATTTTATATCCTAACTAGCAGTAGAGTTCAAATTTTTAAATGTTCCATCCCAGGATAGTATATAATGAAATTTCAAAGAGAATTCATATAATTATTGATAAAATTTTAGGGATTTTAAGACTGATAAAAAATAAAAAAAATGCTATATATTAAAAAATCACATGAAAACAAAAAAAAGAAAAGATTATGAATCACTCTATCATAATTTAACGCGAGACGCAATGGTAGATCCCCTTAATCTAATGACTCATATATATATATATATATTTGAATCAATCAAGATTTTTAGCATATGATATTCAAAGATTTTATATTTAAATCTTATTTTTTAATAGTCTAGAAATTTTTAACTTTTGAAAGTGAGGCAACTGAACAGTAAAATATTATTCATTTACTGTTTATTTGTCTTGATTAATTATTCACATCGTGGCATGTTTATTTTTTTTTGTAATGGCATTTTCATAATTTTTTATAGTTTTTTAGACATTTATTTTTAAAATTTATACTTCATTCTTTTTGGTTCCTTATATTTTTAAAATGTATTTTTAAATCCTCATTTTTTAAAAATATTTTGACATCTCGTGTTTTTAGCTTAATTCATTTTGTCTCACATTTTTTCAAAATATATTTTTTCTTCCTCATATTTTTAAAAGATGTATTTGACTTCTTATGTTTTAAAATTTTAGAATATATATATATATATCGAATTATATATTTTTATTGATAAAAAATAATTTGTTAAATTTTTCGTTTATTATAAAAATTCTCATCAAATTAAATTTTTAAATTTTTATGAAATTTTATTTGTTAATAAATATGATTTATCTTTCTTTGTGTATGAATTTTGAATATGTTTTTTAACAAATAATGGAATTCACGTGTTTCTTTACCTTATTCTTGATGTGATTGACTTTTTTGAAATAAGATTTTAAATTATTTTTATTACACTCTATTAACTTTAATATATTTCTTACAACTTAAGTTTTTTTTTCTTTTTTAATTTTCTAATGGTTTTTATTTCAATTTATTGACTTTAATGTATTCCGTGCAATTTAAACCTTTTTAAAAAAATTATTTATAATATATACTTCGAATCTACTAAGTACGATATATATAAGTTTTGTTAAAAATTAATTATGTATCTACATACATAACACTAATTATTTTTTATTTATTCTTTTTTATGTTTTAAAATTAATATTTTTTAAATAAAATAATTGAGATAAATATATCATTAGTTTTGTTATATATATATAAGTTTTGTTAAAAATTAATTATGTATCCGCATACATAGCACTAATTATTTGTTATTTATTTATTTTTTATATTATGAAATCAATATTTTTTAAATAAGATCATTGAAATAATATTATATTAATATTATTGATTATTATATTAATATATATATATATATATTTATATTTGATTTATATTAATCAAGAGAGATATGATTTTCATTCATATTATATCGTACGAATTACTGACTTTACGCATATAAAAGTTGTCAAATCACATATAGCTCGGATATCAAACTATAGTATACCTAATGGAATGAAGAATTATTGAAAATTTTGTCATAATTCAAGGACACATACATATCAAAATGCCGAGTTCATAACTTTTACGCCATTCAAACTTGACACTTTACTGACAAATCTTTTTTGTTTTTGTTTTCTTCTCACTATTCGTCTTCTACCCTGCGGTGCCATGCATATCAACTCTCCAAGGGACCACAATAATTAAAATCCAGAGCTGTAGATTACAGTACATCTGTGGATTGTACATTTCTCCATTGAAAGTACGTTTCTCCATGCATATCAAAATGCTTTGTACCTCCCTCCGAAGCAAGTCCAAAATGCATGTCTGAAAGATGCATATTTAACGATTTTTTCCGGCGGTGTCCTTCACCAACCAAATCTTTCCACGTTGCGTAGTTCTCTTGTCGTAGCATTGGCAGTGATTAGTTTGGATGTACAATTTTCTGACTTGAAATTTAAGACGTTCAGATACCTTAAGCAGTAAGAATAAGGATAAGATAAGAAATATTTATTGTTTTTTTCTATGAGAACCAATTGAGAAAATGTTTTAACTTAAAAGATAATTAGTGCTTAGGAATTTAAATGAAACTATAGTTGAATATCAAGGAAAGAAAATCAAAATAAATACAAAATGTCATTCAAAAATTCCAAAATTTGAAAAAAAAATCTGAAACATGTACTTATGACACATATTAGAATTTCATATTAAAACGATATGTCTAACTGGTTCAAATTATTAATAATTCTAAAAAATCCTTAGACAATATCGCATCTATGATAAAAATCAAAAAAATTCAAAATAAATATAATATGACATTTAAAAATTCTAAAATCTAAAATGTGAACAAGTATAACACATTAAAATTTCAGACTAAAATCATATCATAATTGATCCAAGTTATTAATAATTCGAGACAATGTTTGTATAACAATAAATCTGTGGTAGAAACTAAGGAAAATAAATAAATATCAAAGTACTTCTAAAAATTTTGAAATTTGAAACCTAACTCAACGATAGATGCATGTTGAATATATAAAAATTTTAAACCCAAACTCATAGTCCAAAGTTGAGCCAAATTATAAATAATTCAAAACAGCTCCCAGACCACGTCAAATCTACGGCAGTAACTAAAGGATCTCCAAATAATTACTTAATAGAATGAATAAAGAATTATGGAAATTTTTGTCATAATTCAAGGACAAGTACGTCTAACACTTGTAAAATTTCGGATAAAATAACAATAATAGCCACACAAAATAACTAAATAAATGAAACTGTCCCTTAATGTGGTATTCTTGATGATTTAGTCTAATTTCTTCAAAGTTAAGGATGCAATTGCAAGAATCAACTATCACTAAATACTAAAATGAAATAACCTAAAGACTAAAGGCCTAACGGTCTCTTTATTTTATTTTTTCCTATTTTTCTTCTCCCTCAACTGTTGTTCTCTCCTTTTTCTTCTTTTTTATCCAAATTCTTCAATTCTTCTCCATCTTTAGCTGTCTCTCTCTCTCTCTCTCTCTCTCTCTCTTCTTTTCTTATTCTTCTTCTTCCTCAACTGTCCTTCTCTCCTTCATTTTTTCACCTGATCTTCTTCTTCCTCAACTGTAGTTCTCTCCTATCTTTTCCCCTTTTTTTTTCCTTTCCTATTCTTCTTCTCTCTCAATTGCGGAGTTCATACCTTTTACGTCATTCAAACTTAACACTTTACTGACAATCTTTTTTATTTTTTGTTTTCTTCCCCCTAATTCGTCTTCTACCTTGTGGTAAATGCAAGTCAACTGTTCATGGGACCACAATAATTAAAATCCAGAGCTCTAGATTGCAGTATATCTGGATTATACATTTTTCCATTTAAGGTACGTACGCAGTATCCATCAATATGCCTTTTTTGGCTTGCACATCATATCGTACTTTCGATTTGATATTGTATTGCATCCATTTTCTATCGAAACGAAAGTGAATGAATTAATGCATATCTTATTTAACAATTTTTTTATGTGATGTAAATATTGAAAAGAAATATGTGGAAATCAAATGTATTTTACCATCAAAATGAATGTATTTTGTTTTTTTTATGTGACTGAATTAATTAATTGTCGTTCTCTCCTCTCCTTGTTTTTTCTCTCTCTTTTTCCTTTTCTTCTTCTTCCTCTACTATCGTTTTCTCTCTATCTCTTTTTTTTTTTTTTTTTTTTTGCCCTAATCTTCTTCTCACTCAACTGTCGTTCTCTGCTCTTAATATGTTAGCGACATCAACAAAATATTAATTTTCATGCTGCATAGTTTTGATCTTGTTGTAACATTGCGTCTTGAATTTTGGATGTTCAGTTTTTTGACTGAAATTTAAGAGGGTGATTGAGAGATATCTTAAGGATAAACATAAGATGAGAATTTTTTTTTTTCAACGAAAACCAATCGAAGAAATGTTTTGACTTAAAAGATAATTAGTGCTTAGGAGTTTAAATAGAATTATAATTAAATATAAAGGAAAAAAATCGAAATAAATACCAAATGTTGTACAAAAATTCTAAAATTAAATAAATAAAAAAATCTAAGACATGTACATGTGACACATATTAAATATTATATATGGCAATATTAATACATTGACTCTAAAAAAACTATACGTTTACTTATTTTTTATTTTTTATTTTTTAAAACAAAAAAAATAAATTGAAGAAGAATGAAAGGGATAAAATTACAGAAAAATTTAAAAATATAAAGATTAGTTTTTTAAACAAAAGAATTAATTTTCATTATTTCTTCAAACTAGAATGATTAATTTATAATTCACTCTAGTTTCATATATTACATCAAATAAAATAAGAAAATAAAAAACAACACTTGACAGATCGAGTGGATAAAGGTAATACAACAAGAAAATTAAACAAATCTCAGTTTCCAACGTTAATTATAAAGTTTGAAGGCCAGTGCCGAAAATGGATGAAAAAGCATCCACTATAGGCTTGAGATTTGATACGACAATTTCAGTCTCCCCCTCGTTTTGACCATCATATAGTGCAATTCCTTCGAATTCATCAATGCAAAGGTCTTCATTTGTTTTAGGTCTTCCCCACCCAAAATCCAAACTATACATCTTAAACTTGGGCGATAAATTACTTCCCAAAAACCAACCTTCGCGAGCTGCTTCCCACTCTGCCGCCCAATTCGTAACACCTTTCAATACTCCTCCTGCTTGGTACAGGTTTTTATGAAGACTATCTCCTATGCTTTTAGCTGCAATCAGAAAACCATCTCTTCCCTTCAACTGGGCCATCTTAGCACAAGCTACGGA